CCGAAATGGGCACGGAACAAACATGTAAATGCCCAACATCAAATCTTGTCCCAAACCAACAGCGGCCGCTGTTGGGCAGGCGCCCTTCCGTCTCAACGGTACACAGGCCGCGGCGACACCGACAGCGAGTCCTGTTCAAAATGAACAGGAACTGCTGTCAGGCATTGTACCCATTCTTTCCGTACCCATTTCGTTCGTGCCGAGACCTTCTGGGAGCTTGATCATTTTGCCGCAATCCTTGATGAAGTTGAAAATTCTTGGCGATCTTCTCGTCGATTTTCTCGGCTGCCCACATGAGCTCCTTGAGCTGTGAGGGTCATGGCCAGAGGGCTAGCAAGGCGGCCTTCAGCATCGCTAACCCCTCCTCATCATCATCATCAGCATCAGCATAAGCATCGTCATCAGCATCGTCACCATCACCACCATCATCACCACCACCATCATCATCACCACCATCACCATCACCATCACCATCACCATCATGATCATGTGGATGCTCAAGTTCGACCGCCCTCTGCGCCATGGTGACCCCCGCGATGGTGTTGATGCGTTTGATCAGCTTGGACTTGTACGGCTTCCGCTGGACAGCGTCTGCCGGGGGTTCCTGCCAGGCTGCATGTTTTGTTTGCCTCCTCCAGTGAAATGGACATCAGGTCCTCCAAGATTGGCTGGTTGTTCTTGTGTATATCGTCCTTCTTGGCTTTGTGCTGCTGCTGGTGCTGGTGCTTCTTGCTGTTCCGCTGCTCTGGTGGTTTCCACCTCAGCTTGCAATTGGGGCAGTTCCAGCAATCGACGGAGACCTGAGTGCGGCACCTCGGGCATTTCCGCATCTTGGCTGGGCGTTGGCGAGCGTCTTGCATCCTCAGGATCACTCTCGCTGTGGCGCGCTTGTCTCGCAGCCGCCGATGCAGGCCGCCTCGGTGGGCCATGGCGCGGCGCTTGGCAGCGCCTGGGGACGCCGAGGGCGCCGCTGCCGCCGCCGCCTCCGCGCGGCCGCTGGCGCCGCTCTCGCGGCGGGGGCAGGGGGCCACAGTGGCCCCCGCCGCCAGGATGGTGCGAGCCAAGCGGGTTGGCCGATCCGACCAGGGCCTGCACCGCGATCGAGCGGGCGGCAGGCGCGATCAGTGCCGATAGATTGGTCGGGATCCGCGGGCCCTTGCGAGGCCAGATGGGCTTCCCCGTCCTTCCCCCCCTCCTCCCAATCCCGCTCCTCCTCCTCGCTGGGGCCCCAAGACGGTGCACCTCGGAGAACGACCGGAGACCCAACACCGTGCGGCGACCCCGACGCCCACAACAACTTACCACACGGTGTGGCCACCGCACCGTCTGGGGGCTCCCGACCCCTCCGCGAGGCCACCCAGGGCGCACGGAAAGAGCCGTGGGCCGCCGCGGGTCGCGGTGGCCCCTGGCCGGCCGCAGCGGAGGACTGAGGCGCCAGCAGCTGCGAGAAGCCAGACCTGAGGCACAGGGCCAAGACCTCCAACGCGTTGAAAACAAACAAGCGTTTTTTTTTGTTTTTCTTGTTTTCGGCGTCTGGGGGTCCTCGCTGGGCCCCGGGACCTGGGACCATCAACAAAACCTATCTGGCCCTAAAAACCGGTACCAGGGAAGTGGTCCAACCACTCTGCACTGAAAAAAAAAGACATCGGAGGTCTGGGGAGGGGGGGGGATCTGCCAGGCAGCGCGCGCACGCACCCCGCCCCCATCAAGATTGCAGGGGGTCGGATGCTCCGGTACGCGCTCGCACCGAGCACCAAATGAGGAGGAGGAGGGGATCTGCCAAGCGACGCGCGCACGCACCCCCACCCTCGGGCGCGGCCAAATCTACCCCTTCCACGACGGGCACCTTCCGCGACGACCTCCCTCCCCTGACTCTGGATCCGCCGTTTTTTTGGTTCGTTTGCTCCGACCTGCAATCGCGTCGGAAATGCACCCCAATACAGTGCAATGTATGCGGGAACTTCCGCATCGGAAACGTGGAGCGGCTATTTCCACAACGACCCGGCGGAAACCGCGACGGCAGAGTAGGGGGGACATCGACATCAAAGGAGCTTAAAGAGTAGGGCGGCAATTTCCGCCCTGCTCGCTGAATCGCGGAGAGCACGGCGGATCTGGAGTCAGGATCGCCCTCGAGCACCCGCCTGCCCGCACCTTGGAGCGAGCCGAAGAGGGTCGTCACGGAAGGCCCAGCTCCCTGAACTACCGTCGAAACGTGGTCGAAGGCCCAGGTGCCATGGAGATGCCCACAATGAAGAACGCCATGAGGCGGAGAGCCCAAGCACGAAAAACTTGAGTTGTACCCCTCCAGTGCTTCTCATTAACCCTCGCGCCAGCTGTGCCACTACCACTACCACAACCACGTCGAATACTTCACACACACACACACACACCCACGGCGGCGCAGTAATCTCCTTTTCGGCCTCGTCGTACGTATGTGGGGGGTGGAAACCCGAACGTGGTCTTGCATCAGCGCGGCTGCGGGACCGCGGCGAGGTCGCGCATGTGGAGGCCGATCGACACCTGCCGTGGGCGGAGGCCGCTGGGAAAGGAGCGAGCAACGCTCCGTCAAACACAGGGGCAGGGATGCAAGGTAATGTTGCGAGTGACTGACTGACTACATCATCCTTTCCTTCCTCCTCCTCCTCCTCCTCCTCTTCCTCCTCTTCCTCCTCAAGATCCCCCTCCATCTTGTTGTCTTCTGGGGGGCCCGAGTCGCCCATGGCCGGGCGAGTCTCGCATAGAACGGCGAAGACCAGCATCACGGGGGCCGTGGACCGGTCTCGGGTGGAGTTGGGTCGGGGGGGGGGCGCCGACTGCCTGCGGGCAGATTTAGAAGGAACATGCATGACCATACAATTTCGGAGATCTGCGCGGATTTCCTGGATCGGCGCTGGGCCCCCCCCGCTTCCTGGCGCGCAGAGCGCGCCAGAGGCGGCGCCAGGAGGGTCCAGCGCCGATCCAGGAAATCCGCTTGGAGCTCCGAAAATGTATGTTCATGCCGTCTTCTCTACTTCGAAGGTCGCCCCACACTTTTTGCGCCTCGCGCGGCCGTCTTGGAAGAAGACAACTCGCTGCTCGAGACCGCGAAGCTCGGGTCCGCCCAATGAAGGGGGCCATGAAGAGGGAGGGGAGGGTTGTGCATCGTGGCCCGTTTCATGCGCGGACGGGGGGAAAGCAGGGGGTGCATCGACAGAAGAAGAGGGGGCCATGAAATCTGGAAGACATCCTGGCCCCAACCATTATATCCACACACCCGTAGTCCTGACCCCCCTCCTGGACGCCCCCCGAGAAGCGCGAAGCGCTGCTACCTTCCCACCCTCTGCGAGTGACCTCAGGTGCGAGACCCCTGGGCCTCCGCAGCGAAACAATCGCAGCGGCGCCGGGCTGGGAGATCGCCGAAACTCTCGCGGGCGGCATCGGGTGCGCGCGGGCTGTGCGAGCAGACGAGGACACGACGAACGCCCTGGAGGAGGTGCTGCACAGCTTCAGCGGCGAACGGCTGCATAGCCATGGTGCTACCATAAGGAACGCTGGACGAGCACCGAAGGAGCTAGTGCTCGGCCTCGAATCCGAGCCCCTTCCAGAGCCCCCCGTGGTCCTCCTTCCAACGGCCTGACGGTGCCTCGCCACGGCTCGGCCAGCACTGCACGTTGCGTGGGGGGGGGGAGACCTGCCACGCGGCCCGACCTGCAACGCGTCAGCTCTGTCACGCGGTCGATCGCCTGTGGCCTAGGCAGCAGTGCGGGGCGCGCCACGTGCACGATCTCATATACAGTCGGGGCGCTGACCTAAGGAACCCTAAATAAGGAACGAGGCCCCTTGTTTCCCTCAGTTCACCTTCGATTTCCGGTCGAAAACATAAGGTAAGCCTGAAGCAAGCTGTAAAACACTTAAAGAACGCGGAGCCCCTCCCCAACGAAAAGGGTTCCTTCTTCAGGGCCCGGACTGTACGGGCCCAGAGCGGGAGGGCGAGGGAGGAACGACTGCTGCGATCCCAGAGCTCCAGCGACCCGGGCAGGGCACGACGGCCCGCCTGCCCGAGCCTGGGCCTCGGGAGGCCCGCTTCTGGGCTCCAGGGCCTGGAGCAAGAACAGCTCACGGCGCGCGAAAGAGGGAGGCGAGAATCCTGCAGCCCCACGCACGGATTCAACCCAGCGCGGCTCCAGGGCACTGCAGAGCCAGGCAACACCAAGGTGGAGCCCAGCTCGGAGTTCACGTCAGGAGTCCGACCCCGGCAGAAGGGGGCATGCCCACTGCAGACCAAGGAAGAGCAGAGCAGTCCAGACCAACGCACAGGCGAAAGAGAGTAAAAGCACAGCGAAGAATAACAGCTCGCTCTTGCGCGCTCTTGCGCGAGGAACCTGGCCGCTTGCCGAAGGGTAAACCCAGGGAAACCGACACCATTCGCCTGGTGGACAAACGTGGGCACATCACACAGCCTGCAATGCATAGCTTGCACCAAATAGCTTACACCACATGGATGGTATCATATAGACTGTATTACGTAGGCAGTGGAGTGTGCTCAGGTCTTTCAGAACCCCCAGTATTGGCTATTGCATTTACCCTTTAAAGAACCAATTCAAAACCTGGAATTCTTGGATCTCCCAGCGTGGCTTTAGGGCTTGTCATGGCAATCCCGTGATGCGTCGCATGACTTTTCCAGAGCCGAGACGGCCCAAAAGCGCTCTCATACGGCCAAGATGGCCTCAAGACGGCTCAAGAGGCCTTCAAGACGCCCCAAGAGGGCTCCAACAGGAACCCCAAGAGTGCCCCAAGAAGCAAGAATAATTTATTAATTACCCGCAGAGTTTTTGAAGCTTTAGCGCTCGCTCAAGAAACCTCAAAAATCGGCCAAGAACAGCCCACGAAGCCTCCAAGAGGGCCCCAAGCTCGGGAGGTCCCCCAGACGGCCCAGGAGGCCCCCAGGAGGGAGAAGGCAAAGAAACTGCCGGAGCCTTTTCCCCCCAGTATGACTTTCAAACCCCAAACATGCCCGCAAGAGGCCCAACAAAGGCCCCAAGAAACACCGAAGGGACGCCCAAGAGGCGCCTGAAGGCCTCAACATGCCTCCGACACGCTCCCGAGAGGCCCCCCGAGAGACCCCGCCAGGCATCGAAGAGACCTCCGACACAGAACCCAAACACCGTGGCGGGATTAGCAGAAGTACGTACACTAGATAACTTGCACTAGATAGCATGTGCCACATAGTTTGCACCACAGAGCTCGCACCACATAGCTTTCACCACAGAGCTTGCGCCGTATAGTTTGCACCACAAAGCTCGGATCACATGGCTTGCGCCACGTACAATCTCCTTTCAAAAAAACAATCAGGATCGACCTCACCCCAGATTTACCGCTCCCCTTTTCATTTCGCATTGCAATTTGCATTTGTTCTGCCCCATCGTCCATCCGAAATATGAACCCACACCATCCCAGCCAAGCTGGTACCGCCATCCTCTGTAACAAATGCTGTGCGCGCACTCTTCGTTTATCCGAAATCAACAGTTTCCAAACATCATTTGCAATAAACGGGACGAAATGCACACGCGCGCGTCGTCGCGCGCATGCCGCATTCCTTGAATAGCCCTCGGTGTCGTGATGATGTCAAATTCGAGTGTCACGAAAACATATATAACAACACCTGATTTTACAACACGGATATTCAACCACAAACGATGTTGCGTTCGCTTTCTTGTGAATTCGCAATAAAAACACGTTGTGTTGCCAACATGTTCATGACTGCCAAATTGGCCTCTCGCGCGCGCGTGTCGAAATCGTGAACACGCCCTTTGCGCGCGCGTTGTCGCAAAAACCCCGTGCATCAAAAATCTGGACGAAGTGCACACGCGCGCGTCGTCGCGCGCGCATGCCAGAATCCTTGAAAAACGTTCGGTGTCGTAAAAAATTCAAGATCGAGCGCGCCGAAAACATTTTAAAACACATGTTTGCAACATCAATTTTACGAGAATCCGGTATTCGCTCGCTTGCGGATTCTTGAGAAAACAATCGGTTTTCCAACATGTGCATTCACTTCTGCCTAACGGGCATATCGCGCCGCGTGTCGAACACATTCGAACGCCCCTGCGCGCGTGCTGCGGCGGGGGGGGGGGGAGGGGGGCACGATCCGAGTCAAATTCCACGCGGTCCACTCATGCGCGTCGGCCGCACGCGCATGTCGAACTCCTTCTGAAACTTTCATCGCCGACGCGAGGACATCGTCATCGTTATCGACGGGCGTTATCAACATCGGCGCCGTCATACGCCTTGCCGTCGTCAGCGCCACCATCGTCACCATCATCGTCGTTTTCATAATCGTGTCTACCGTTCTTGGCGTCCCCATGATACCGCGCCCCCTCAAATCACCGACTCGCACTGAAGTGCCCGCTGGGAAATGCATTGCGGTCAGCGCCACCGCTGCCGCGTCGGTCACGCCAAAGTAGCTGGCCGCTGGGCGCGCGAGCATGCGCGGGCTAGCGCGGAAACAGAGATGCACCAGCCAACGCCAAGCACTCATCGCAATCGCCGCCGCATGGGTTTTGCAAACCGAGTTTCGGCTGGGTGGGTGGGACGTTTGCCAAAACAGGTTTCGTTGTGAAAACCAACTGCACCACGTAGCTTGCACTGCAGAGCTTGCGCTACACAGCTTGCGCCACATAGCTTGCACCGGCGGTGGTGGTCACAACATAAGGGAAACAACTCCCGAACAGAACGACACGCACCACGACCACGACGACGCCGACGACAACGACGATGACGGAGACGAGGCGCGCAGACGATCCGCACCGAAACACGGATTTGGGAAAACGGCTCACCCTGCAGGTTCGGTTAAATACCACATCGTTGAGCGGCGCTGCAGCCTCCGCTGCTGCGGGGGGGGGGCACGATCCGTGTCAAATAATACCACGCGGGCCACTCATGCGCGTCGGCCCCGCGCGCATGCCGAACTCCTCTAAAACGTTCATCGCCGACGCGAGGACATCGTCATCGTTATCGACGGGCGTTATCAACATCGGCGCCGTCATACGCCTTGCCGTCGTCAGCGCCACCATCGTCACCATCATCGTTGTTTTCATAATCGTGTCTACCGTTGTTGGCGTCGCCATTACCGCGCCCCTTCAAGTCACCGATTCGTACTGAAGTACCCGCTGGGAAATGCCCAGCGGCCGGCGCCACCGCTGCCGCGTCGGTCGCGCCAAAATAGCTGGCCGCTGGGCGCGCGAGCATTCGCGGGCTAGCGCGGCTGCAAAGATGCACCAGCCAACGCCAAGCACTCATCTCAATCGCCGCCGCATGGGTTTTGCAAACCAAGTTTCGGGTGGGTGGGTGGGATGTTTGTGAGAGCATGGAATGTGTGATTTCGCTTGTGAGAACCAATTGCGCCACGTAGCTTGCACTACAGAGCTTGCGCTACATAGCTTGCGCCACATAGCTTGCACCACATATATTGAGCACGTAGGTTGCACAGCCAATGCAAGAACTCACTGTTTGTGGCCCACGTTGGCAAGCATTCCTCTATTCTGAACGTATTATTACAACAAAATGGAAGTTCACCTCCAAAACTACGGTGCTCGATCCTGTAGGCACCCCCCAAAAAAACACGCTGGAACACGCTGGACCGAATCCGCAAAAGCAACCTGCCAGCCCCAGGGTACCCAGTCGAAGAGAGGCTCGAAGAGCACCCAAAGACCTCCAGGCTGGAGGAACCAGCTTGGCGTCGAGCACACGGGGGGATGGCGCGAGAGGGACGGCCTCCTCGAGAAGGCGGGAGGCTTCTCAGACGGCCGGAGCCTACGGGCCCCCCCCCTCTCGCGCCGAGCTGCCGTGCGCGCCGCCGGTCGAGCCCCGATCCTCGCCCCCCTGCGGCCCGCGCCGCCTCCGTCGGCACGCGCACGGTGCCCAGGACGCCGCCGACCTGCGGGCGGGCCCGGCCGGCGCCCACGCCTGCCCCTGCCGGAGCCGGGGCGGCGGCCGCGACCGCGGGCGCAGGGAGAGCCTCCACCGTCGGGCAGCGGAAGGAAGGGGCGCTCAGCAAGGAACGGAGGCCCCTCCGAGCCCCAAGGGGTCCCTCAGCTCGGCGTCCTGGCTGTGGGGCCCTCCCCGGCGGGCGCAGGGAGAGCCTCCACCGTCGGGCAGCGGAAGGCAGGGGCGCTCAGCAAGGAACGGAGGCCCTTCCGAGCCCCAAGGGGTTCCTCAGCTCCGCGTCCTGGCTGTGGGGCCCTCCCCGGCGGGGCAGGGAAAGCCGCCGTGGGGGAGCCCAGCAGCGCGCCAGCTGCTGCAGGCACACGCCGGGCCCGCGGCCGAACACGAGGGAGGGGCCAGCACGCCGACGGGCTCCCGGCGGCGGCGTGCCGTGCAGATTCCTTTTTTCACGCATGAAGGGGGCGGGTCCTGAGAGAGAGAACGGGTCCCGGACACCGGGGGCTCTCCCCAGGACGAGCTTCGTATCCTGAGCAGTGTTCGACGATCGCAGGGCCCGTGGACGCACGCGGAGCAGCGCAAGGGGGGAGCACCGATCTGGAATCGATGAGTGGGCGATGACGGGTCGATGCAGTCCCCCCTGAGCCCATCCCCCGCTGGCGTTGCTCCCGAGTGGGGGGGCCCGGGAGCCCGAAGACCGCGCAAGTCCCTCTGCAGGACCCGCTTCCCTCGGGACCCCTGTGCCCCCAAAAGCAGTTCTCGATTCTCTGCTGAAGAACTGGGCCTGGTTGCCTGTCGGTCTGGCCGGCTTGTGGCCGCACGTCGCCGCCGTCCGTCGCCGCCACTTACTTTGCATGGCTTTGCATGGCTTCGCATGGCTTTGCATTGCGTTACATTGCTTCGCGTTGCTTGGCACCTCACAGAGAGCACCACATGGGTTGCACCACCTAGACTGCACCACATTGACTTGCACCACCTAGATTGCACCGCTTAGATTGCATGCAGCCGCTGTCTGGGGTCCACGCTGGCTGACATTATCCAAGGCGATCTTTTCTCCTCTCGCGATGGGGCTTGAGAGTCGCGCCGCATCGCTGGTGCATCGCCGATGCGCTCGGGCTGACGACGACGACGACGACGACGCGCCCGCGCGCGCTCGGGCGCCAACCAGATGCCGTCGGGCAGCCGGCCGCGACCGTCCGCGCTCGCGCGCACGCGAGCGTCCGCGCTCCCGCGACCCTTCTGCTGGGCGCCGTCCACGCGTCGGCGATTGTGGGGAAACCGAAACAGCATCAGCGGCACGCCGCCGAGAGGAACGCGTCAGCGTGGTGCTGCTGAAGGGGCACTGGGCAGTCGGCCAACAACCGAAGGAGCAGCGCGCTGACGGGCTCCCAACGGCAGCGCGACTCTGATGCTCTTCGTCCTTCCCGAGACTGAGAGCGCACAGAGCTCGGGTGGAGAGCTCGGAGTTACAGCGCGCGCTGCCGGCCAGGTCAGGCAAGCCGTCGACGAGGCCCGAGCTAGAGGGGCAGAAACGGGGGCCAATACTGCCGCGGAATCCGGGCCTTGGCATCTCGCACGGGCCAGCATTGCTCGCCGGCCCGCACGCATCGCGACGCCGACTGTGCCGCGTCGCCCGAAGCGCAAGTTCGATTGCTTGAGAAAGGTAGCCGCCCGCGCCTGCGCCGCCGCCGAATGCATGTATACACAGATGTGCGTGCAAGAGAGAAGACATCTAGACTGAGAGGCGAGAGAGAGAGAGAAGGAACAATCACGAACGAACATTTTAAGACAAGTGGCGAAATTAGCACGGAAGCAGAAAGAACAGCACGAACCACATAACACATCAACAGGCAATGGACAAACACCATTAGAGTTGCCCATTGACTGTTGATATTTGATTGTTGGTTCCCTCGTGGCGCTTTCGCGTCGCGCCCGATCCTAACTCCAATGTCATGGCTTACTTTGTGTCGCCATGGGGATGCTTCTGATGTGGTGCATTGCGGATGTTCATACGGGGAGGCTAGAAACGCTAAGGGCAGGAAACACAATGGACAGAGTGGCTAGAGTATGGAAAGTCGCGTCCGCCGACGAACGAGACAACCGGAAGCCCAGAGCATGGAGCACAACCGGGCCTGGCCCGCGTGCATGTTTCCAGCATCCCCGTATGTTATTAGTCCCAACATCATTTCAAATGTTCATGTTGACCTCCGTCAACATGATCAATGTGCACCCCCCCTCAAACGGAACATGGGCAAACATCCCCCCCTCAAAAAGAAGTCCAGATGTAAACCGTCCACATGAAGAATATATGTGTGAGCCCTCTGTAAAATCCTCCTAGTCACCCTCATCATGTTCTCGCTCCTTCTTCCTGCTGCGCCGAATGGGTTTCTCTCGACGCCAAACATGCAAAAGCTTGCTCGATTTTGCGAGGATGTCAATCAGATACGGAAGAAAGGCGGACGAGGAAGAAAGCCCGCAATCGGAAATAGCTGAGAAGACTGGGACTGCAGCAAATTCGCCAGCCTTCACGCTGGAGCCCCTGATTGCCACCAGCGCGATCGACGCTTTTGCTTCGTAAGAGCAGCAATTACTGAGACATCCACAATACCATGTGCAAACGACCGCGTTGGGCCCATTGCACTCGTTCCGTGCTCTGCAGCGAAAGTTAGTCAGGACTAAGAGGAACAGAAACGGGAGCAGGAAGACGATGATGGCTGGTTCGGGTCCTGCATCGGGCACGCTCGTTGAGGAGTGAAACCATCGCGGGCGCCTGGATGGTATATCCGAGGGTCAGAGATAGGCAGCGGCAACAAACATCAGCAGAACAAATAATGGATTTGATGGAAGAGACAGAAAGACATGAACCTTACATTCTAGATCTTATGTGTGGTGTTTTCCTTTACCGAGTTGAAGAGGCAGAGTATCATGAGCAGGAGACGGTATAGGGAAACAATTAGTGAACACCCCCCCTGCCCCCCATGTTCAAAGTTGGCACGCGCGGGGGAGACTGCGGTCGAAGTGCAACTCATCAGACCCACCGCCAACTTTGAACATTGGGGGGAGGGGGAGGCCTTCACAGATGAATGTGGCATGAGTGTTCGCTATTTTTTTCCGAGGCCTGGAGGGGGGGAAGCAGCGGCAGCAGCGGGAGCAAACGCGGCCTGGAACAGCCCCTGGGCGGGGCAGCCATGACTACTTTCCTTCTCCCACTCCGACCTCTACTGCAACTCCTCCAGCTACTCAGTATCCTGCCCTCCTCGGCGTCCGTCCCCCGCCTCCTCACACCTTCCTTCTCCTTCTCCTCTTCCTCCCTCACCTTCTCCTCCTCCTCCTCCTACTTCTGCTACCGGCCAAATCTCCAAGAACGTCTGCCTCACTCTCTCTCTCTCTCATTCTCCACCCTTCCTGAAAATAGGCTCCTTACCTCGCGCCAAAGGGCACGTTGGTTGGGTTTGGGGGGGGGGCGAGGCGTTTCGCCTGAGCTTTCGTCACCGCCCATGGCGATGAAACTTCAAACATATCCAACAACTACAATGACTAAGGGAAGGCAGTCTTAAACATGCGGTTCTCGCCCTAGCGCCGGACCAATTCGTCTTACGCACGTCCGACAGCTACAAGGATGGGAACCGGGTCGTTCACATGATGTGGCCCTCGCCTTAGCGCCGCACGCTTTCGTAAGCTTCCAACATGTGAAAGGACGGATGATGGGTCGCTCCCAATACGTAGCTCTCGCCGTAGCGCCGCGCAAATTCGTCTTAGACGCTTCTGACAGCTACATGGGTGGAGGACGAGATGTTCTCAAAACGTGGCTCTCGCCGCGGCGCCGCGCACATTCGCTTTAAAAGCTGCGAACAGCTTGAAGGGTGGAGGGCGGCTTTCTGTTCAAAGTGTGGCTCTCCCAAAATCGCCGCGCACACTCGTCTCTGAAGGTTTCATCGCCGCCAACAGCTACATGGATGGACGGTGGCCCCTTCCCGCACGCCTCATTTCCCAAATGGGAATCTCGCTTGACACCTCCCCAACTTGTGCAATACGCGGACGGCTGGCGGATACCTCCATGATCATTGAACTTAATGATCCTATCTCCTCGTAGTCAATACAGCTAGAAAGAGTCACGGTAATTCCATTCCGAACCGAGATTATCGGGAGGAGGGGGGGGCGATCGTCTTTGACAGGGGTGCTCCCCGTGATGGACAAGGACCCTTGCAAGGACTTACGAAGGAAACGGGAGGCTAAACTGCAACATCGCTGGTGCATCCTGTGTTTATTCTGGTCTTCCTCCTCCATTCCTCTTCCTCATCAATCACTTCTCCCTGTCGCACCCCGAGGCCAACTTTTAGGGCGGGCCTGGCGTTTCGCCTGAGACGTCCTCACCGCTCATGACTCCGAAACTTAAACAATATCAGCAGTTTCACATATTGAGGGCGGGTGGTTTTCAACATGTGGCTCTCGCTTTTTTTGCCGCGCACACTCGTTCTAAAACGTTGCAGAAACTTCACGGGTTGAGAGCGGGTGGTTTTCAGCATGTGGCTCTCGCCGGAGCGCCGCGCACATTCGTTTGAAACATTTGCAGGAGCTTCACGGACGGAGGGCGGGTCGCTTTCAAAAATGTGGCTCTCGCCTTAGCGCCGCGCACACTCGTCTTAAACATTTGCAGAAGTTTCACGGGTTGCGGGCGGGTCGTTATCAGAATGTGACTTTCGCCTTAGCGCCGCGCACATTCGTTAAAACAAATGCAAAAGTTTCAGGGATTGGGGGCGGCTCCTTTTCAACATGTGGCTCTCGCCTTAGCGCCACGCGCATTCGTTTAAAACAATTGCAAGACTTCCACGAATTTCCATGGCCAACGTACCAGAAAGTGCGTTTTGGAAGGATTCAGGATTATGCGGGTGCCCCAGTTATGTTGATTCGTTGTGTTGACATCCCAAAAATGGCGGTCTGGCACGATTCCAGATCGTCAAGACGCAGCAGCCAAGTTGATCCGTGGCGTGGAAA